TATGCAGATGACACGCAAATCTATCTGTCCTCTCCTGATCTCTCCCCGTCCCTCTTGACTAGTGTCTCTGACTGCCTCTCTACTGTTTCTAACTGGATGGCTGCCCACTTCCTTAAACTAAACTTGACCAAAACTGAAATTCAGTTTTTTCCTCCCTCAGGTGTTGTTACTCCTGTGTCTGTCTCCCTCCAAGTCAACGGTGCTACCACCGCTCCACCACACAGGCTCGCTGCCTATGTGTTCTCTTTGACTCCATCCTCTCCTTCAAGCCTCAGGTTCAATCTATCGCCAAATCCTGTCAGTTCCATCACAAAACCATTGCGCGCATCCGCCCCTACTTAATGCCAGATGCGACTAAGGTGTTGGTCCATTCCACTGTCCTTTCTCGCCTTGACTACTGTAATCCGCTTCTCAGTAGTCTTACGTGCTCCCAACTAGCGCCGTTACAGTCCATAATGAATGCGGCGGCGAGGCTCATCTTCCTGTCTGCCCACACCTCCCATGCCTCACCTTTCTGTCAGTCCCTACATTGGCTTCCTATAAAATATAGAGCTCAATTTAAAATTCTGGTTCTTGCTTTCAAATCTCTACATAATGCTGCTCCTACCTATCTATCCTCCCTTATACACAAGTATGTCCCGTCTAGGCCCTTACGATCTGCTGGAGACTTACGTCTATCTTCTGTCCGTACTCCCACCTCTGATGCTCGCCTTCAAGATTTTTCGAGGGCTGCACCATTTCTGTGGAACTCGCTTCCCTCCTCCGTTAGATGCTCACCCAGTCTCCACTCCTTTAAAAAATCGTTAAAAACCCACTTCTTCATAAAAGCGTATCAATTAAACTGTTAATAGCTCCTGACTGATTCCTCTTCTGCAACTGTCACTAGTCTAATAATATCCTTACCTTTTTGTGTCATTTTACCCCACTCCCTCTAGCATGTAAGCTCATTTAGCAGGGCCCTCAACCCCTCTGTTCCTGTGTGTCCAACTTGTCTGGTTACAACTACATGTCTGTTCGTCCACCCATTGTAAAGCGCTGCGGAATTTGACGGCGCTCTATAAATATCATAATAATAATAATAAGATTCATATTGTTAAGCATCCAATCTCATGAACGTGACTTTCCACAATGGCTGTCAGATCTTGGTAAAAAATGTTTTCAAGACAATATTGGTTTTTTTCTGGTACTTTAAGCCACTAATAACTGTAGTTATTATATTTACTAATTGTAACTTAGGGAATAAGTTGTCTTCTCCCTAACAGGACAAAGAAAGATGAATAATGCCACGTTTCCAATTATCAACTATTCTAAATAGATTGAGAGATTTTGAATAAAGGTGTATTTTTAACATTTAAAGAGAATGTAATTTTTACATATCATTGTGAGCAAAGGCGGTAAATAATTTGCTGCTTTAAATTATCCTTATATATCTAAATCATATACAAGGGTGTTTATCTTTAAAAAAACACTAGAAAGATTAACTATGTTACTATTTCATCTATTGTTATTATACAAAGTATAACAAATGTAAAGATTTTTCCACAGATTTTACCTGTTAACATTTTTAGCACAACAGCACCTGATGTCAGTGAGATGTCTATCACTGAGATGTTACAAAGATTCCAATACAGCAAAAAGAGGCGTTCTTGAGAAACCACTTTGATTGCTGTAGCAACATAACATTTACTATAATGGGATCCATGTCACCTAAGACAATGTCTTGGAAATGCTATTAATTAATTTATTTGTCTTATCGGAGAGTATCAAACTTATACACATCATAAACGGTGTAAAAATGTTTCATGGAAAAAACAAAACAAAAAACAAACATGCAAAGACATAAGACAAAGACAAATACCAACACCATCACCACAGTGATAACAGATAATGCTGATTTAATATCTGCAACCAATTCTAGCCAAATATTTGGATAGCTGGATTCTACAACCTATGTTTTTTTTAATGGCCATGAGAGGGTAAGCCCACCTGCCAACGTCAAGGCAGACCCCCCCTAGGTGGGTCCTAACTCTAACCATTCACAATGCTTCCTTGAGCTTCTGGCAAAGACATCTCTAATGAGACAGAAGGGGGAATTTTTTTTTTATATACACCCCTATACATTTATTAACCCTTAATAGGGAACAAATGGGATGGACGGCAGCATTGTAACAAAGCTGTGTGATACAAAAAGTGGATACAAATGCAAAAAGATAAGTCCTGCACTCACTCCCATCACTCCTGCGTGGCAGCAATGACCACAGTACATATCAGCCCCAATATATAGTAAAAACCAAAGAAAAACAAGTTACCTGCGCTCTCTCCCTAATCCCTATGTAAATAAGGGAACCAGCCACGGTTACAATATATACTATTATAGTCTCGGCATGGTAAGAAATACAGTGGAAATCGTACTTTACAAAATAATAAATAATATGTAAGGGTGTACTTAAAGAGAAAGTTTTAAAATACGGTGGAACAAACATGTAGCAAAAGTGCCCCAAAAAAAGCACAGAATCTTGAAAAAAGTCACAAAACGTTTAAAACATTCACATAGATCCTAGTTATCCATTAGGTTATCCATTAATGCAGTCAGTTTGTGCTCTCTCTGTCTCTGTAAGAAATCTTAATATCTCAATAAATTAGGAAATGTGTCAAGGCACAGAAAAATTGGGAAAGTTGATATTTTTGATAGAAGCAACTAGACAGAGTGAAGTGATCAGATAGAAAATCAATAACCTTACAGGCTGAGTGTTTATAATATAACAAGCAGAAATGTGTAATCAAGTTGCCACAAAATCCCATGAGGTGAAATATTACAAATAGGAATAATCAGCCCACCATATTAAAAGGAATGTCTACATCTTTAAGGAAGTGCAGAAAAATTGATTCAGTTTAACTCGAGGACATGGAGGACCAGCTTTAGCCTGATAACTATCCCTTCTTCTCAGTATGAATGGACCTGCTTATGTGTAGCATGTAGTGTATTTACATTTCAATGGTGGAAACTGCTGGAGTTGCTAGGTGTACCATGTTTATCCCTGCAGCCTTCATCAATATGACCTGAACATGACCTGGAGGAGCATTCATTCAGAATGGAGTATACCTAAAACACACAGACTCTGTTTCCCACCAATTGTTCTAAGACAATTGCAGAGCTTAGCTCAGGAGGGATAATGGAAGTTCCTGCTGAGTGACTTCTGGTTCTCTGTTTCTCAGGAGATGGTACCATACCAACTGCACAGAGTTTAAGTGGTTAAGGCGTCTGGAGTGTTCCTTTTTATGAGGGATTATTTATTTTCTATGTTCTAAATATATACATATATACATAGATTATGCATTCATTTATATGAAAACATATATAAACTAGAAAAACAAAAATATATTTATATGCAATGCAATTTTTCCAGCATTTGCTGTAAATCTACAGGCTCAACTGTATGTATCAGTAAGAGTAATGTAACTTTAATTTTGCACAGCTGTTGAAAATAGACCAGAAATAAAAATCACTCAAAGATAAAAAAAAGTAAAGGGAATGTGAGGTATGAGGGGATAGCAAGGTCATGAAATGACTGTATGGAAAAATACTTTTTCTTTCTTCTTACATGAAAGGAAAAGTGACTGATTTGTCCCTCTGATTCTATATAATTTTCCAGTGCAGTAAACAACTTCACTATTTTCGATTGTCAGTTACAGCAACAGTTTGCTGTTTACTGAATGATTACTGGTTAATTGTTACCTAGTTTAGACAACTGGTTGATGTTTCGTCTTCTGTTCTAATGGTCAGAAGCTTATTTATGCAGCAATGGGTAGATTTGCATCTATAAAGGTACTACACGTTTTAGACATAGACAAATAAACAAAATGCATTGTATGTCTATAACAGGGACACAGGGAATATCTTGGAAGGCATAAAACACAATGAATAATCCCACAGTGAGTCAAGGCAAAAACAGGAGAAGGCATACATTAAAGGGACACTATAGTCACAAAAGCACATTTAGCTTAAAGGCATACTCCACTGCTCAAATGCAAAATAAATAAAAATCACAATTTAGTAGATATAGCCTAATGAAAGCATGTTAATATTTAATATATACATCTAAAACTGCTTGCAAAACATACAGGACTCGTGTCTGCAGCCTTTGCAAGCCCTCTTCTTCTAACCATTTCCGTGGCCGTACAATCGCAGACTTCCCAATGCAGCTCAATGATAAGTCTTTGCAAGGCAGGTGCTTTGGGCAATCAATGTGTCAAGTTTAGCTCCACTTAGCGAACCAACCCAGGAAGTAACAGGACCAATTATCTGATTGACAGCAGGGGGGAGGGTGGTTTGTAACAAGGTTGATTTTTAAAAGTGTCTAATTCTACTGAAACCTGTACTTTAAACAAAAAATAAAGACACAGTTTTCATACATAATGCTTTTGAGCAAGGTACAGTGATTTAGGGATCTGGACTGTTCCTTTAATCAAGCAGTTTTTTTTTCTAGATCGTGCATCACTGCCATTTAGGAGTTAAATTACTTTTTTTCTGTTTATGCAGCCCTAGTCACAACTCACCTGACTGACTCACACAGCCTGCATGACAAAAAAATTTTCATTTTCAATCAGTTGTTAATGTACTTTAGACATTTTTATCTCCTGCTCTGTAAATTGAACTGTAATCACACAGGAAGCTCCTGGTGGGTCTATGAGGCTACTAACAAAGCAGGAGTTACACAAGTCTAAATTAAACAGACTGTGTAATAAAAGAAGTGTAAAAATTAGATCTTAATCCTTAAATTTACGTGTTTAGGAAGGCTGTGCACGTTACATGCAGGGAGGTGTGAATAGGGCTGCACAAACAAAGTAATTAAACTCATGAATGGTAGATTACTTAGCAAAGTGATCCATCACAAAAAAAATAAAAGTAAAATAAGAAATTATTTATTGCTTAAGTAATCAAAATATCTTAGTATCATCAGCAAAAAGACATACCTTACCATCAAGACCTTCTGCAATATCACTAATAAAAATATTAAAGAGAATGGGTCCAAGTTCAGGGATCTGTACTTGGACCCATTCTCTTTAATATTTTTATTAGTGATATTGCAGAAGGTCTTGAGGGTAAGGTATGTCTTTTTGCTGATGATACTAAGATATGTAACAGGGTTGATGTTCCAGGAGGGATAAGCCAAATGACAAATGATTTAGGTAAACTAGAAAAATTGTGGCAACTGACATTTTATGTGGATAAGTGCAAGATAATGCATCTTGGACGTAAAAACCCAAAGGCAGAGTACAGAATATTTGATAGAGTCCTAACCTCAACATATGAGGAAAGGGATTTAGGGGTGATTATTTCTGATGACTTAAAGGTAGGCAGACAATGTAATAAAGCAGCAGGAAATGCTAGCAGAATGCTTGGTTGTATAGGGAGAGGTATTAGCAGTAGAAAGAGGGAAGTGCTCATGCCATTGTACAGAACACTGGTGAGACCTCACTTGGAGTATTGTACACAGTACTGGAGACCGTATCTTCAGAAGGATATTGATACCTTAGAGAGGGTTCAGAGAAGGGCTACTAAACTGGTTCATGGATTGCGGGATAAAACTTACCAGGAAAGGTTAAAGGATCTTAACATGTATAGCTTGGAGGAAAGACGAGACAGGGGGGATATGATAGAAACATTTAAATATATAAAGGGAATCAACACAGTAAAGGAGGAGACTATATTTAAAAGAAGAAAAACTACCACAACAAGAGGACATAGTCTTAAATTAGAGGGACAAAGGTTTAAAAATAATATCAGGAAGTATTACTTTACTGAGAGGGTAGTGGATGCATGGAATAGCCTTCCAGCTGAAGTGGTAGAGGTTAACACAGTAAAGGAGTTTAAGCATGCGTGGGATAGGCATAAGGCTATCCTAACTATAAGATAAGGCTAGGGACTAATGAAAGTATTTAGAAAATTGGGCAGACTAGATGGGCCGAATGGTTCTTATCTGCCGTCACATTCTATGTTTCTATGTTTCTATGTTTCTATGTAAAATAAAAAAATGAGAGACAGCAAAATACACATTAAAAAGCCCTTAGGCTAAAATGCAAGACAGTGACAGGCAGCACTAGCCTAGACAAAGATAATATAATTGTATATCTTATCGTATATTGCTTGTTCATTTATTCCCCATGTATGGTGTCTAATTTCAGCATATTGCAGCATGAATGGGTTGGGCTCTCTGTTCTTTCTCCTCCCCATCTTAGATTGATCAATAGTAGACGTTTGGAGTAGAGTATGCATTCCTGTATGTTGCCATGTTGCCATGTTTCCATGGGTAAACTCCTCCCTTGGAGGCAGTGATTGGTGAACCATGATATTTACTAGATACAATTGTATACTTCAATAGAGGCACTATTGATGCTCGGTTCAATACCCTAGATGCCCTTTTGGCTCCAAAACTCTAGTTGTGCAACTCGCTTGCACTCACTTTTTTTTCACTTTTATATTGAGCACATTATGTGAAGTTCTCACTGTATATGTTTGATGATAGGGAGGATGTAGAGGAATTAAGGGCTGGTTCTATAATATTCAATATCCATACCAGTCTTTATACTAGTATTAGCATACTGTTCTAGCAGTCTATAATTACTTTGTGTTTGGATTGGCATTTATCTCATAACCCTTCAAATTCCTTACACCATACCTAGCTAGTTACACTGTATCATTGTACTCAGTTACTTTGTGTCTCTAGCCATACACAGGCTTACAGCCGTGTTTATCAAAGCCATTTAATTTTTGTAATTTCCACCTGGTATATCCCTAGAATGCTGTCTCACAAAATTTAGTTAAAATGATTCATTTGATCTTTTGAGACAATTTTCTCCAGCTCTTTTTAGCCCTAGTGACCTTAGTGAATTGCTCCTTTTGTGAAATGGCACTTGGGTAGAGTTGAGCGAACCCGGACTGTAAAGTTCGGGTTAGCAACGAACATTAAGTTTTTTGGACCCCGGACCCGAACATGGACATATAACTGTATGTTCGGGTTGGTGTTCGGTGTTCGGCGATTTAATGGTGCGATTTGAAAGGCTGCAGGGCAGCCAATCAACAAGCATTTGTCTTGTGTGCCCTTAGAAGCCATCACAGCCATGCCTACTAGTGGCATGGCTGTGATTGGCCAGTGCAGCATGTGACCCAGCCTCTATATATAAGCTGGAGTTGCGTAGCGCCGCATGCACATGAGGTCTTATTAGTGTAGGGAGAGGATGCTGCCGCTGTGAGGGACAGCTTAGGAAAGAATTCTGCAAACTAGTATATTAGTGGGATAAACTTCATATCTGAGAGTCAAATAGAAGCGTCAAATACTGCTGTCACATTGCAGTTTTAAAACTTTAAATTTTTGGGGTGTTAAAAAGTACATTAGTGGGGTCCACTTCATATCTGAAAGTCAAAAAGAAGCGTCAAATACTGCTGTCACATTGCAGTTTTAAAACAAAATATTTTGGGTGCTAAACTGCTATTAGTATTTTAGTGGGGTGCACTTCATATCTGAGAGTCAAATAGAAGTGTCAAATAGTGCGCTTACAGCGCAGTTGTAAACATTCTAATTGTTTTGGTGCTAAACTGCTAAATAGTACATTTTGGGGCCTGCTCTTCATATCTGAGAGTCAAATTGAAGCATCTAATAGTGCGCTTACAGCGCAGTTGTAAACATTCTTATTTCCTGGGTGCTAATCTGCTAAACAGTATATTTTGGGGCCTGCTCTTCATATCTGAGAGTCAAATAGAAGCGTCAAATACTGCGGTTACAGCGCAATTGTAAAAATTCTTATTTTTTGGGTGCTAATCTGCTAAATAGTAAATTTTGGGCGTGCTCTTCATATCTGAGAGTCAAATAGAAGCATCTAATAGTGCGCTTACAGCATAGTTGTAAACATTCTAATTGTTTTGCTGCTAATCTGCAAAATAGAACATTTTGGGGCGTGCAATACATATCTGAGAGTCAAATAGAAGCGTCAAATACTGCGCTTACAGCCCAATTGTAAACATTCTTATTTTCTGGCTGCTAATCTGCTAAATAGTACATTTTGGAGCATGCACTTCATATCTGAGAGTCAAATAGAAGCCTCTAATAGTGCACTTACAGCGCAGTTGTAAACATTCACAATTGTTTTGCTTCTAATCTGCTAAATAGTAAATTTTGGGGCCTGCTCTTCATATCTGAGAGTCAAATAGAAGCATCTAATACTGCGCTTACAGCCCAATTGTAAAAATTCTTATTTTCTGAGTGCTAATCTACTAAATAATAAATTTTGGGCATGCTCTTCATATCTGAGAGTCAAATCGAAGCGTCTAATAGTGCGCTTACAGCGCAGTTGTAAACATTCTAATTTTCTGGGTGCTAATCTGCTAAATAGTACATTTTGGGGCATACACTTCATATCTGAGAGTCAAATAGAAGCGTCAAATACTGCGGTTACAGCGCAATTGTAAACATTCTTATTTTCTGGCTGCTAATCTGCTAAATATTACATTTTGGGGCCTGCACTTCATATCTGAGAGTCAAATAGAAGCATCTAATAGTGCGCTTACAGCGTAGTTGTAAACATTCTAATTGTTTTGCTGCTAATCTGCTAAATAGTACATTTTGGGGCCTACTCTTCATATCTGAGAGTCAAATTGAAGCGTAACATTGATTCGAATTTACTACATTGGTCACTTGTAATATTGTTTCACACCTACAACACTTGATACACAGATCTAAGTGATAGAAAACAGATTGATATTTTCTACACTAGAAACTACCAGATAACAGGCTTCTATATTTAAAACCGTTATCATTAGCTAAGAGGTACTTAAACAATATTGTAATTCTGGGGCAATACCCTCACAAGTCAAACTGAGAGGTCAGTTTATAGGGAAAACTGTTGCCTGGATACAATTCTAAAACAAATTCCATATGTCTTTTGCAGACTTTACATGCTGGAAAAACACAGGTGCCAACTGCTGTGGCTTTCTGCAGTGTGCATACCAGCAAGGAGGGCAGGGTTGAGGAGTGGGTGGAAGATGATGAGGAGGATGATGAGGTCCTAGACCCCACATGGAATCAAGGTCATGCGAGTGACGTGTGCAGTTTGAAGGAAGAGGCGCTGGTCGCACAGAGGCACCAGCACAGTATAAGAGGGAGCAGTGTGCAAATTCGGAGTGGCTGTCCCCTAGTGCTCGTCGGCATGTATTATCTTTAGAATTCCCACAGTTATCCAAGTAACAGTTGAAGAGATAAAAAGAACCATAACAGATTTAACAACCATTTGCAGTTTTGCAGTCTGGTGACCGGGACCCAGACACTGTCTGGGCGGTGGTCGGACGACTGGAACCCAGTATGCCTGATGTAAAAGTTAGGAGTCACAGTGTGGAATGGATTAGCAGGGTCTGGTGCAGGGTAACCGCACGCCCAGCGTTTGTTGAGCACCAGCGTTTGTGCCGCCACATACCAGGACCCTGATGCAGCTTCAGTAAAAAGAGTACTGGATACCAGAAGCCATCACCAGACTGATCTGCAACTTGGAACAGGATGTGACATTCACTGAAGTGGCTGTGCGCGCTTTTGGTGTTCTCACCCTGCTGCTGCTCGCCTTTCTGCGCTGCAGTGTAACTTTGGCCTTCCCACTCACTGCCTCATATGCAATGTGCCCACAAGGTGGAACTCCACCTTGCACATGCTGGAGAGACTGTTTGAGCAGCAGCAGGCGATAGTGGAGTTTCAGCTGCAGCACGCACAGGTCAGTGGCTCTGCACCAGACTTCCCTCCAATTGATCAGAGTTAAAGGATTTCAAGTGGACTCATTACAATTACAGGGCCTCTAAAGAGTCCTGTATTGTTATTTGTCGTCACTACCTTCCCGTGTCGGGAGTGGGTCATTTGCGTGCCTGCTGCCTTCCTTGCATGTGGTAGCCATTTCTCAGGCTCCCTCTCAGGAATCAAACCCTGATTCCCCCATTACCCGTGGTCACCATGGTAGGCACAGTAAATGGCATTGAAAGTTGATATGGATGACATACGAAAGCGTCGTTGCCTTGTCGTTGGGGAGCCCA